TGTAAAAACTGGCAAGGCAGTCACTCGTGGGGAAAACGGAAACGTAAAATTTTATCTAGGGTATAAGCTCAATCAAGGTTTTTTAAAAAGACAAAATGTGCTCTGGGAGGTAAAGGAAATTATTTTCTTTTTGCTTAAGAATCTTCAAACTCTTGGGGCACCTGGGTGGCTCAGTCGGCTAAGCGGCCGACTCGGGCTCAGGTCATGATCTCAGTTTGTGACTTCAAGCCCCGCGTCGGGCTCTGTGCTGCCAGCTTGGAGCCTGAAGCCTGCTTCGGATTCTGTGTCTCCTTCTCTCTCTGCCCCTCCCCTGCTTGCACTCTGTCTCTCCGACTCTCAAAAATAAACATAGAAAAAAAATTTTTTAAGTGTTTACACTTTTTTTTACAGAGTATCTTCCAAATGTTCTATAATGAGGAGTAATTTTTAATGATGAAAATATATCTTAGCCAAACTCAGAAGACCAGGAGGCTTAAATAAAACTATTATAATACATATTCTAAATGTTTTTCCCACTAAGCCTCCTCACATACTCAAACATTCTTTCTTTAACCATTTACATGATTAAAAACTTATTTTTGAAGTTTTCCTCTAAAGTTAACATTTACAGCAAAAAGGAGCGAAACAGTGGCAACTCACATTGAATGTTCCAATCACAAAATCACTACTGTATGAATAAAATATTAGTAAAAATTAATTAATAAAAGATTTACATCCACCCTATTTCCTGAGAAAGGACAAAGAATTTTATTACTTAATATAATATTGTGAGTACATGAAGAGACAATCTCTCTCTCACACACACACACTCGGGGGGGGGGGTTCCTCCCTTTCCTTTCCTTCCGGAGTGATGATAAACTGCACTGACCATACATATATCTTAACTCTTCCTGAATGACCCGGATAAGACTCCAAACCAGAAGAAAAGACAAAGACAGCCACATTCGCCTGCAACTTTCTTTCAGCAAGTAGTTTACAAGTTACCATGCGTAGGGGGCTATGCTAGGTGCTGGTTTTTAAGAAGTAAACCTGTCAGGGGCGCCTGGGTGGCTCAGTCAGTTGAGCGGCCGACTTTGGCTCAGATCATGATCTCGCGGTTTGTGGGTTTGAGCCCCGCATCGGGCTCTGTGCTGACAGCTCAGAGCCTGGAACCTGCTTCGGATTCTGTCTCCCCCTCTCTCTCTGACCCTCCCCCACTCGTGCTCGTCTTGCTCTGTCTCAAAAATAAATAAATCATAAAAAATATTAAAAAAAAAAAAAGTAGTAGTAAACCTGTCGGACCCACCACGAGCTCGCTTGTGCCCTTGGCCTCGTGGACACTGTGCTGTAAAGGCCCTTCCTACCCCCGGCCCCTGACCGGGAGCAAGCAAGCAGCCGGGCCAGCGGCACCCCAGGGTCTACCACCTTCTACCCGTGACAACTTCTTGATGCAGCGCCCCTCCCCGACCAGGACTTCCACGACCCAAACCGGGAACAGTAAGGGGCCGTGGACGCTGACATGTTATTACGGAGCCCCTGCCACTGTGCGAGCCAATGTGACAGCCAGGACCCAGGCTGTGACTTCCTAGTCCGAGGCCACCCAAACGGCTCTACCAACTTCCACCTCAATTTTCAACCCTCTGTATGCGTCCGGCCCCTTTCCCCATCATTTCACAATTACGGCATACACACTATGAGGCAGCTACTCCATGGAATCTGAAGCTACTTCAGGAGCAAAATAAACATGTATTATTTCTTTCTGAAGTTTGAGAGAGAGAGAGTATGTACACACACACACAGGGAAAAGGCAAGAGAGAGAATCCCAAGCAGGCTCCGCGCTGTCGGCACAGAGCCCAGTGTGGGGTTTGAACCCATGAACCGGGAGATCACGACCTGAGCCGAAATTAAGAGCCAGAGGCTTCACCAACCAAGCCAGCCAGGCGCTCCTGAAAACATATTATTTCATGGACGGATAATAACAGGAGGCATTTCTAGACACATGTTTGCAAATCTATTCCCTGCAATCTACACGCAATCACTCATTTGAGCGAGGCTACACCTCAAACTTAAGAAAACCTGATTTTCACACGTTGGCACATCGACAGCAAGCCAGAGAAAGACGTATCTGAAGAGATCGGTTTTTAACAGCGCCTTCATCCGAGGAAGGTACTGCCGATTCGCCCAGATACCTTATGTTGACAAAGGAAAAAATTAGGCAAGCTTAATTACTTTGAGAAGAACATTCCAACTCAGCATAAACATCTTCAAAGATGCTGGTTCTCTGAGCAGTATCATTCTACCAGGTCCCAACTCCTCTTCCCTCTACCGCTGCATACACACCCCCAACCTCATCCGCGCCAACCAAACTCACTTCCCCCAGACACGGGTGGGAGAGACGAAGGGCTCTGGGATAGAACGGCTGTTCTATCATTTGTAGGAGTTAGTGCATCGCCAAACTGCAGAAATAAATGAGAGTCCTTCCCCTCAAGGCCTTCACGGTCTAATAAGGAGACAACAGAAAAATTTTAAATACAGTATGATCGATGCCACTGCGATTACAAAAATTCTGTGAAATTATACGAGAGGGATGGAGGGTGGAGAGGCAGGATTGAGGAAGCCTTAAGTAAGGCTACCGGCCCGAGAGACAGGCATGAACTCACCAGACAAGAGGTGAGGGAGAGAGTGAGAAGCCTACCAAAACCGCATCTACAAAGGCATAAAGGTAAATTATCTTTGCTTTTCCTGACTCTCAATTTTGTAACTCTCAGACGATGGGTTGCAGTCTTCCCTCAAGGGATTACAGATTACTTTGGGGCGCCTGGGAGGTTCAGTCGGGTTAGCACCGACTTCAGCTCAGGTCATGATCTCGCAGTTTGTGGGTTCAGCCCCATGTCGGGCTCTGTGCTGGCAGCTCAGAGCCTGGAGCCTGCTTCCAATTCTTCTCTCTCTCTCTCTCTGTCCCTCCCCTGCTCGCACAAAAATAAATAAAAACATTTAAAAAGTAAAAGAAGAGAGAGATTACAGATTACTGAGATATTCAGAATTACTTCGGGGAGTGCAGTGGAATTTATTCAAATCTGATTACAAACACATCCAATTCTAATGCCAGTTTTGGAACAATCTTATTTGGCTAGACACTGATAGTTCCATATTCACCAATAATACGCACAATATATGCAATTAATGCACCTGAGTGAAAGCCCTAGTAAGAGCCTAAGAGTCTAACATTCTTCAGGTCAGGTCGCAGTGACTTAGTGTTCGACTTGGCAAGCCCCTTCCTCATGTTCCTGATCTAATCAAAGCATATGTATTTATTATTATGTTAACCTGAATACTGTTTGTGTCCCTCAAGTAAAACATACACACCATGAAAGCCTTGATCGCTGCTGTTCCCCCAGCACTCAGCCAGTCTCTAGCACTCAGCAGGTGCTAAGTATGTATCCGCTATACTTGAGTGACTGAGTCGTCAGTAAAAAGGAACACATCGCTCCTGAAGCGATAGACTTTGACAATGAACTATGACCAGACAATCTGTAGAGCTCAGCAATCTGGCAAGATTATCACTTTCAAAGACTTAATTATCACATTCCTTTTGAAACAAGAAAATAATTGGCATATCTAAAAATAATGAATCCAAAAGATCCCGGGGAATCGTTTTAATAGAGTCCCTTTAATATCACTGCTTTCCTAAGATGTACATTTGTGAGAAAGAACATTTGGGGAAATGGAGTCTTCGAGGATTCTTCAATGGTTTCTTGAATACTGTGTGATTTTAATCGCACCTGACTTCGGCCATTTTTTTTGCACTGCTCCTCAGCGCTCAGTATAGAATCTGCTTCTAGAGCATCTTTCCAGCCTGATTCACCCCTCCTTAAAGAAAGACGTATGAAATGTAAGTCCAAGAAGATCGCTTGGGGATCAAAAATCAGGTGCACAAGAAGGGCCAGTAAGACAGAAACCAGAAGGAAAGTTCAGAAGACTTTAATGGCAGAATCACGAGGCCCACACTGCAAAGAGTAACTTTCTTCCCGTGGCGGCTCACAATCAGGATCCCTGGATGGAAGCTCAGCAGCCGCTGATGAAACGCATCTGCCCCCGTCGCGTGGAAAACGGGGCCCTTCTGGCCAATCACAAAACCACGCAGATGCAAACGCACCCACGGCGTGCTCCCATTAATCCGGGACTTCGCAACAGGCATTAGCGCTCGTCCCTTACGGTCGATTTAGAAGCCCCAACGAAACGCACCCCCCCCCCCCGCGACAGCCGAGCACGGAAACACTTCCAGCCGCACACAGAGGTGCCCGCGGCGTTACGGTAAACAATCGACGGGGGCGCCGCGGCCGGTTCTCCACGACGAGGCTGCCCCTGGACGCGCGGGTGGAAGACGGGGAGCTCGGTGCTCAGTACGAGTGGAACACGGGAAATTTTTCCACGGCACTTATTTAAAGTTTCCACCGTCAAACACACACCCCCTTCCCCGTCAGCGCCGGGTGGGGGCCTCGGCCTCGCCGGAGGCGCGGGGAGGAAATCTGCACTTGACTTCCGTCCTCTCCCGGCAGGAGCGAGACCCTGCCTTCCTGCCCGCGGACCCCCTACCCCCGCCCGGGGCCCCCTCCCCGCTCCGCGTCCTTGCACCCCGACCCCCGCCGGGGGGCCGCGCGCCCCCAGCTCGGGGTGCGCCCCGCCGCTCCGCCCCGGCGCCGCGGGGAGACTCGAGCAGTGGAGACGGGGGCGCCGACGGCCGGCGCCCGCACCCCGCCACGTCCGGCGCGGGCGCCCCCGCCACCCTCGCGCCGCCCCGGCTCGCCCGGGGGCGCCTCCCCGATTCCCGGGAGGCATCCGAGCCTCCCGCGCTCCCCGCCCGCCGCCGTCCAACCGCCCCCGCCCGGGCCGCGGGCCCCCGGCCCCTCACGCTAGGCCCCGCGGGCCGCCCGGGCGAGGGGCGGGGACGAGGGCCGCGCCGCGGCCGCCCGCCCGCCGGGGGTCCCGGGCCACCCCCGCCGCCCTCCCGCCGCACCTACCATGGTACAGATGGAGGCGAATTTGGAGACTGTCATTAGGATTTCCATCCGCCCAACGCCATCTTCCACCCAATCACAGCGGCGGCGGCGGCGGGCGGGGGAGGAGAGGCGCCGGGCCGCCCGCTTGCACCGCAGCCCGCGGGCGGACCCCCAGCCGCCGAGCACCCACGCACCGAGCCTGCGCTGCCGCCGCGGCCGTCGTCGCCGCCGGCGCTCCGGCACTCCCCGCCTCGGGCCCCAGTCCCCGCCCGCCCGCGCCCGGCTCCTCCCCGGCGCAGGGCGCAGCCGCCGCCTCCGGGCCCTGCCTGCCCGCGAAGCCGCCCGCCGTACGCCCCGCCCTGCGCGCCGCGTGGGGGGCGGCTGCTCCGCGGAGGCCCTAATGCCCCGCCAGCCCGACAGCGGCGCGGCCCAGCGGCGCGCCCCGCCCCCCGCCGCGCGCGGCCCCGCCCACTCCGCCGCGCACGCCCCCTCGGCCCCGGCGCGCGCCAGCCGCGGGCACTCCGGCGCGGCCCCACCCCGCGCACGGCCGGACCCCGCCTCCCGCCCGCGGCCCTCGCGGTCCTAGCGCCCGCGCGCCGGCGGAGCGGGGCTGCCAGAGCGGCGCGCGGGGAGCGTCCGCTCGCGGCTTGGGCGGCGGCGACCCGTGTTAAGTCCCGGAAGGGACCCTACCGAGGGCCAGGGGAGAGCCGGCCCCCACTGCCCGAACAGGAGCCGGAGCTGATGATCCGGATAATTCTGGGTGGGGTGGGAGGAAACCTGCTCTGTACGGTTAAAGTGACCCGATAGTCATCCTTACGTCCCAAGCACTTAGCAAAATGTAAGGTGGTCCGTGTCTTTGACACGCGGTGGGTCAAAACGCCGCAACTTAGCGAGACACTAATAACATAAAAATGAAACTGTGTTTTGCTCCTTGAATTAAGGCGAAAGATAAGCAGTGAGGAAAGGGGGCCAAGCTTGCCTCCCCGCCTCCCCTGCTGGCCATAAATTTAGAATATATTTATAAATACAGGACCTAAATATATTTGTTCTGAAAGTTGAGTTCCAAAGCAGGGAAGATTGCACGCAACCCAACAGCGACGGTACTGTTACCACAGACGAGTCTCCCCAAGTGAGAAAAATGTCGTGAGAGACGTACTTTAGCAGCGTCAGCTGAGCGTACAGTTCCTCTTTCCTACTTTTATAAAAGGCTCATGGCATCCTCTTCTTCATGGCAGGTGCTGAAGCTTTCTTTTTTTTTTTTTAATGTTTTTTATTTATTTCTCAGAGAGAGAGAGACACATGAGCAGAGGAGGGTCAGAGAGAGAGGGAGGCACAGAATCTGAAGCAGCTCCAGGCTCTGAGCTGTCAGCACAGAGCCCTTCGCGGGGCTCGAACCCACAACCTGTGAAATCACGACCTGAGCCCCAGTCGGAAGCTTAACCGACTGAGCCACCCAGCTGCCCCAGCTCAGCTTTATTTCTTCCTGCTTAAGAAAGTAGTTTGAGTTAGCAGAATAACTTCATTATGTTAGAAAGCTTGCAATATTTCCCGATTGGTGAGCTGCAGCGATGGGGTGCTTTTTGGGGTTCCCCATTTCGGTGTGGCTGAAGGCCTGGATTCAGATGAAGCCCTAAAATCAGATATGCCTTGCCTCATGGTTCAAAGTATTCAACACACAAAACAAAGCAAACAAAATTTAGGTGCAAAAACAGATTTCTGGTACGTGAATGCTGTTTCCATAGTGATTTCCATTATAAGCTTGCTTGGGGGGAAAACATTGCAAACAGAATATAGCTAAGTCCCCTAGTAGCTGGCCTGGTTCTCCAGCACCTACTTCCGTGGAAGCTGGGGCCCTCCTTCTTTGCCCTGACACCCAAGCCAGTGGCTAGGACCCTGCTTTACGCCACCACACACTCAGGTTTAGAGTGCTTCCCTCCCTGTATCCCTGCCCAGACTTGAAAGTATCGCCCCCCTGAACCCTTTCTATGTTCTTTCCTGCTTAGACCTCCAGGGCCTGCCAGTGTCTTGCCTATTTGGATAAATGCCTATATATAAGACCTGTCCTTCTCATTTACTATTCTTTCCAAGAAACAGGTTTAATGTGCCTGAACTTGAGCCCCGCCCACCAATATGCCTCTTTGTCCCTGAATCCTAAAATGTCACGGGAACAAAGGCCGCCAGCTTTACACATAATTCTATCTAAGAACCGGCCTTTTTAAAAATGGATTCCTGATGGAATTATCAAGAGTTGCGTCTAGGTGGTGGTGTAGCCGTCTAAATTCATAAGGGATGTCAAAGCTCCTAATACCAGAACTTCACAATGCCTTCTCTCCCCGGCCTAAGGTTGATCGGAGAGGCATAGATATTAAAAGACATTCTTCTATGTGCTAGGCACTGCCCTGGGGTATTTTTTTTTTAACCATATGTAATACAGTTACGATAGGATTTGACTGAAACCCCACACTTTTGTACCCTGAGCTTAGAGGGGGTCGTCTGGGTTTGGAACAGTTTTTACCTGCACCTGTACCAGTTTTACAAAGACCACTGTATCTAGAGAAAGATGAGTAGGTGTATAAATGACTTATTTAGGGCCTTCCGGAGTGCGGAAACTCCAAAAGTTACCCAGATCACTTCAAGGACCAAGCTAGTAAACAGACCAGGGCCAAGCTTCATCTACTTGGTCACATGGTGTTTTAAATTTTTTTCATTTGACTAGTTTTACCCAATCCTGGAAGGACCAGTGCCTGACAAGCTACGTCATATTTTCTGTTACTCATCTTGTCTCCAGTTAACCGCATGTCACCTCCTACAGGCATAACCACAGAGATATTGTGGGTTTGGTTACGGACCACCGTAATACAGCACATATCACCATGAAGCAAGCCAAATTCATTTGGGAGTTTCCCAGTACATATAAAAGTTGTATTTACGCTATACTATGGTCTGTTAAGTGTGCAAGCGCATTGTGTCTAAAAAACAATGTGTGTACCTGAACTCAAGGCATGCTTCATTGATAAAAAATGTGAGCTGTCATGTGAACTCGCAGCAAGTCGTAATCTTTTTGCTGGTGGAGGGTCTTGCCTTGACGTTGATCTGCTGACTCATCAGGGTGTTGGTTGCTGAAAGCTGGGGGCGGCGTGGCAATTCTGTAAAAGAAAACAGCAAGGTAGTTGGCCGCGTTGACGGACTCTTCCTTTCACAAACAATTTCCCCGTAGCGTGTGAGGCTGTTTGATCGCATTTTACCCACAGTGGAACCTCTTTCAAAACTGGAGTCCATCCGCTTAACCCCTACCCTGCTTTAACTTCTGTAATACTCTAGAGCCCTTGTTCTCATTTCAGCAAACTTCACGGCATCTTCACCGGGAGCAGATTCCGTGTCGAGAAACCAGGCTCTTTGCTCAGCCATGAGACGCGGTCCTCACCTGATCACGTGCCATCACGAGATCACAGCCACGCCGTCCACCTCCAGGGCCCCCTTCTGGTTCTGGTTCTCTCGCTGTTTCCACCACATCCGCCATGACCGCCTCTACGGATGTCCTCGACCACCCAAAGTCATCCCCGAGGGTGGGAATCAACTTCTTCCAAACGCCTGCAAAAGTTGGTATTTTGACCTCTTCCCATGCATATTGAGTGTTCTTAAAGGCATCTAGAATCTAGAATGTTCTTAATGGCATCTAGAATCCTTTCCGGAAGGGTTTTATTTGCTTAGCCCAGATCTACCAGAAGAATCACTATGTATGGTAGCTATAACCTTACAAACTGCATTGATTAAAATATAAGACCTTCGGGGATTTGTACACAGCAGGGCAGCTCCCTCACTGCAATCTATTAAAAGTCAGCCCTCGGGGCACCTGGGTGGCTTAGTCAGTTAAGGGTCCAACTTCCTCTCAGGTCATGATCTCACGGTTCGTGGGTTCAAGCCCTGCGTCAGGCTCTGTGCTCACTGCCAGCTCAGAGCCTGGAGCCTGTTTCGGATTCTGTGTCTCCCTCTCTCTCTGACCCTCTCCTGCTCACGCTGTCGTTCTCTCTCTCAGAAATAAATAAAAACATTAAAAAAAAATGTCAGCCCTCAACACAAGAAAAATCATATTAGAAATAATAACTACAATAAAAAAAAAAGACTTGAAAGTCAAAATGAACCCTTGATCCAGGGGCTGCAGAACAGATTCTATGTCCACAGGTATGAAAAACGCATTCCTCTCACTGTACACCTCCATCAGCGCTCTTGGGTGACCAGACGTACTGAACAGTGAGCAGTAATATTTTGAAAGGAATCATTTTTCTTAGCGGCAATTCTCAACAGTGGGCTTAAAATATTCAGTAAACCGTGCCATGAACAGATGTGCTGTCATTCAGGCTTTGTGGTCATTCAGGCTTTGTGGTAGCGTTTATAAAGCAGAGTAGATTTAGCACAATTCTGAAGGGCCCTAGAATTTTCAGAATGGTCAATGAGCCCTGGCTTCACATCACCAGCTGCATTAGCCCCCTGACAAGAGAGGAGCTTTGAAGCCGAGCACTGACTTCTCGTCTTTCTCTAGCTGTGAAAGTCCTCAATGGCATCCTCTTCCAATAGAAGGCTGTTTCATCTACACAGAAAATCTGTTGTTCAGTGTAGCCACCTTCATTACTATGTTACCTAGACCTGGAAAACTTGCCACAGCCTACACCAGCATTTACTGCTTTACCTTGCGATTTTAGAGACGGCTTCTTTCCTTAAAGGTCATGAACCTTTGGGGCACCTGAGTGGCTTAGTCAGTTAAGCGTCTGACTTCGGCTCAGGTCATGATCTCACAGTTCATGAGTTTGAGCCCCGCATTGAGCTCTGTACTGACAACTCAGAGCCTGGAGCCTGCTTTGGATTCTGTGTCTCCCTCTCTCTCTGCCCCTCCCCTGCTAATGTTCTCTCTCTCTCTCTCTCTCTCTCTCTCTCTCTCTCTCTCTCTCTCAAAACTAAATAAACACTGAAAAAAAAAAGGTCATGAAACTTCAACCTTTTCTTCTGTAGCTTCAGCACCTCTCTCAGCCTTCAAAGAATTACAGAGAGCTAGGTCCTTGCTCTGGATTAGGCTTTGGCTTAAGGGAATGTTGTGGTGGGTTTTGATCTTTCTATCTAGAACACTCAGAGACTTTCTCTGTATCAGCAATAAGACTGTTTCAGTAACATATCATTGGTAACACAGCACTTTACACTTCCTTTAAAATTGTTTCCTTTTGCATTCCCAGCTTGGCTAAGGTTTGATGCAAGAGGCCCAGC